TGCCCGAGTTTGCTATCAGCATCTGAGCCATTACTCTGAGTGCTAACTCTGAGGAGGCCCAGAGAGTGACAGCAAGGGAGAAAGGCTTTTTAGCGGTTCCCCTCACCTAATTACATTTTCCCCACTGAAGTTTGCCTGGTGCCAATTCTGTCATCTGTTTAGCACCAGGTTAAGACTGCATCTTCTTCCAGGAATTTAATGCTAATTAATGGTATTATGGGGTGTTTACATAAGCTGCTTTATGCTGAAATTAATTTAGCTGCTTACAGGGTATTTTAATTTTGCATACTGAAACATACATAGTATTTTTGTATTTGTAGTTTGTGCTTTTGAGAGCTTTGGCTACTGGGAAGTAAGGAGTGTAGAAATAAATTGGAAGGCAGGAAAGAGGCTTTAGTCATATGCAATCTTAAAACAAAGCAAAATGAAAGACAATTCTTCAAAGCTGCAGAATTTTGAATATGCCTTTGTATGAAAACATCCCTTTCTTTTGTATTTATATCTATATATGAAGATTAATTTATGCATTTATTTAAAAAGATAAATACCTCTTGATAAAGATTTTATTTTATTCCTTTGTGAATCTCACAAAGTACTAATTCAGTTTATATGATTGCTGTCTTTATGCAAACTGCTTCACTTTCTCTGGTTGACCACACATTGTTAATCTCTTATGATTTAACTTTCAATATGTCTTAGCTTGTATAAGCAGGAGCAATCATAAAAAATATCAATGGAACATTAATTTACTAAGGTATGATTGATTTAGTTGTGATGCCTCTTGAACCTGACAGTAATCTCAGGATGACATCTCCAGGACATTTGCGCTGTGGCATTCATCTCTGCCATGACCACATGGGTTCTTTTATGACAATCTGACCTTTTCCCCATGATTACCCACCTGGGTTTCCATCACAGAATTTAAATTGTGAAAGGGATTATTAAGGGTATATCATATAAGTGATTAGTATGAAATTGCTCTATATGGAAAAATTGCACATGTGAGGGATCGGAAGTTAATCTCAATGTGACAATCCTTTCCAATAATGAAAATTAAAATCTTGGGGTATAACATGTATTCTTGAAAAATTAAGCATTATTTTGTGCATTACTTTTCAGTAGACGTATTTGAAAGACATCAGAATAGAAAACCTCATGTTAGCTTCATGTCATCTTTAACTGTACAGATTTTGGTTATAGGGGATCTCTAGTGTAGTTGTAAACATTACATAATAATGACTGTGAGCTGGGGCACAATTGAGCAGCATACAAATGCTTCTAAATAAATAAAAGCAGAGGCAAAATGCACTAGTTCTCATTCCAACTGGGTGACTCTGGGCCAGTCACAGACTCTCAGCCCAACCTACCTCACAGGGTTGTTGTTGTGGGGATAAGATGCAGGAGGAGAGATGATGTCAGCTGCCTTGAGCCCTTTGTAGGAAAAAGGCAGGATATAAATTGCAATATAAATAAATAAATAAATAAATTCCCAGGACATGAAAGGGAAGCCTAGCTGTAGCTGCTAACCAAAGCCTTCTGGGCAAAATGTTATGGAATGCATCAAAATTCTTACCATCCATTGTAGTCTGGGGAAAAATGAGACATTTCTGATAAAACGTCCAATGAGGTGTGTCATTAGACTGTTCAGCTAGGGCTGGGGAGACCCGGGTTGTAGTCTCCGCTTGGTCACTTAACTCACTGGATGATTTTGGTCCACTCACCAGTGCTCAGCCTAACATACCTCTCAGTGCTGTTGTGGGAAAAATTGAGGAGAAATAGAACAATGAACACCACCCTGGGCTTCTTGGAGTAAAGGTGGGATATACATGTAACAAATAAAGCATGCATATATTTGTGCTGCAATTATGTTAGGATTAAAGATATGTAGATCTGCAGCAACAACTTTTTCCAGGATTTTCTCCAATTCTTATAATGGAAAAATTGACATTTTCTCTTATGAAAAGTCGTCTTCTCATTTGTGTGGGAGGAAGGGGGTACACAAAAGCCTAAAGTACTTAGTGAACAATGGTTTTGCACAGCTGTCTCCAATCTTGTGCCCTCCAAATATTTTGGTGTATAACTCCCATCATTCCCAACCATTTGCTTTAATGGGACTGATGAGAGGATAAAATGTTGAGGAAGACTCATGTAAAATTTGGTCAATGACTGTTTCTTCAGCTCTTTTAAAATGAGTTTTCCCCCTTTCTCTGAATAATGTTGCCAACATGAAGAGGAGAATGTTTCCGAGTTCAGAATAATATAAACTTTTATTATAACAGTATTGATGACAGTTGGCAAAATAAGGAAAAACTAAAAGATGAAAATAGAAGCTAAGATATGCTTAGGTACTCTTGAGTACTTTCTGCTCTGTACATACTTGGAATTGTTTGAATAAAACAAAGTGTACCATCTGTGTACTATACAGTGTATAATACAGCACAGTTTTATGTACTCCCTTAGAAACAATATATTTAATTTTAGAGGTCTTAAGAAAGCAAGAACTGTGTGTTTCTTCAACATTTCTGAGTTTTCCTCTCCATGGGGGAAAACAACCTTTATTTTCTCATGGCCCCAGTCTTCTTATGAGATAGCAAGGATATTTTTCAAATGACGGTAGTGAAGTTTGCCTCTCACTTTTTATGAACGACAAGCTGGGGGAAGTAATTCTGCTGCTTTCTATAAGAATCTAACTGTTAGAGTATGTTACATTGTATTATGGAAGACTTCAGCAGCAAGTCTAAATTATATTGCATAATTACAGATGCAGTGAAATAACTTGCCCAAAGAAGAGGTCTTTTTTTTAAAGTCAGAAAACTCACTTTGCATTCTTGCTGCATGATAAAGGGCCAAAATCCACATATCTCTGTCTAAGGCAATTGTGGTATTCAGTCTGCACTCACTCTGGCTTTTGGGCAAAATTGCTCAAATCGCTGACTTCAGTTTGTTGAGCTTGACATACGGCACATGCAGCCATTTCACTAGCAGTGCAGTTAACAGCACCGGGCAGCTGCCACATGCTGGGAAATTGTCCAGTAGTTTGACTCAGATAAGTGCTCTTACAAGTGCAAATAGCTTGGTTTGAATACTGCTACTGTGCTAGTGGCAAGCCTAGGGGATATTCCAGGGTTTGGGGTTTTTTGTTTTTTTTTGCAAATGATCTCTCCTCTGCCAGTGGTGGCATCATTAATCAGACCTCCTCCATCTACCCCATTCTTGCAATCCGTCATAATACAGAGAAGGTAGTGCAGCCTTCCTGAGAGCTGGAGCTGTTTGTACAGCTCATTTCATCAACTGGAAAGCATGGCCATAGACCCTGTGCTGAATTAGGAGAAGTAAGCTCCCATATTTTGAATAGTAGGGAATTTTAAAAGCAGTAGAGTATTTTTTCTATGCATTCCTGATAGGAGTCAATAATGTTTATTTTTTACACAGACATGGCATGAAATCTGTATAACTTTAATGCACTGATACTATTTAGTATATTCTCCTCCTCCTTTCCTCTTACAAAGAACCCAGTGTGGTTTACACAGTTCTTCTCATTTCCATTTCCTCAAGTCTGTGGGGCAGGGTAGGCTGAGAATCAGTGACCTACCCAGAATCCTCCAGTGAGCTTCAAGGCTGAGTGGGGACTTGAACCTGGATTTCCCAAATCCCAGTCTGGCAGTCTAGCTACTATACCACACTATTCTTTTTTAATTACAACTTTCTATCACGTCCTTTACTAGGCTTCCCTGCAATCACTCACAATGGCTGCAAATGTATTTGCCTCCCTGGAATGATAACTTGGGGACTGCTTTTCACAGCAATACATGTGGTCACACTCAGAGACTGCACTGTTACTGATTTCAGCAAATTGCAGGAACTGGCACTGTTGACAATTGCTCATGTGCCGAATGCTTTACTAAAGCAGGTGAAGAACACTCATATCAGGACCCCTAATGTTTAATAAACTCAAGGTCCTTATTCTTTAACCAGATCTAGGAGCCATTGGCCTAATTTCAAAAACTGTCTGTATTCTATCAGTTCAGCTCTCCAACAAGAACCATCTTTCCTTCCCTGGCAGAGGGATAGAGAACGGGGGCAGCAGAGAGTTAGAGAGAGAGAGAAAGATGGGGGAAGGAGAAGGAAGATGATCCATTTACATTTAGCTCTGGCTTTCCCCACTGCTGGCTTTAAGCCTACTCACCAAGTGTCCTCTGACAGATTGTTCACAAAAGGATGTGCCCCACAACAGAATAAAAGGCTGCCCAGCCATTCTGCTTCTTCAATTAGGAGAAAACATCTCTGAGAAAGTTTTGGTGCCAAATTGAATACACGATAAATAATTATAAATCAGTTCCCACTTTAAGTACCCTACTCTTCATATAGCTACCATCACATATGGTTCTACTCCAATCATACATATACCACTGATCTTACCTTTTAATGTTTTACAATTATTTTGCTGAAGCATTTTTAATAAGCATAGTGCCACTTGGGTAGTAATGTAATCCAGTGCGCATTTGTTCAGAAGTATGCTTCATTCTGCTGAGTGCTCAGTGCTCCCTCTCTGCTGTCATTCCAAAGATAAGCAAAGGCTGCCTTATTCAAGAAGGTTTGGGTTTGTGATTGCATTCTGTTTTTATTCTGTAAATGTATTTATTGAATTTAACATTGTTTTAATCCATTATTTTTACAAGCTACACTGAATGGAATTTTTGGAAGAAAAGCAGGATATAAATTAAATAATTTAGATGGGTTTGACTTCCAGGGAGGTGAGCATTGAACTGCAGCTTGACTCAATTTCTGTTGTAAATCCATGAGCCTCAGACCGAAAGCATTGCTTATTGCTATAGCCTAAAGAGGGTGTATAAGTTGTGTGGGAATCTCTGTTGCTTATATTGCTGACATAGTCAAAAATCAATAGTGACTCTTTTTTCTGCTTAAAAATATTTACTCTGTATACATAATAACTTTGATGATTGGCAGAACTGTAACACTTTATTTTCTTGATGTGTTAGATGCAGAGAGAATTGGCGTCTGTTCTTGCTATGAAGGCAAGAAAACTGGGTGAGTATACCAAGGTTTTGATTCTGATGTTGTGAGCTGTATCTAAAGAAAGAAAAATCATATAAAACTATTTGAGAAGTAAGAAGAACTTGAGTTGCTGATTTCAGTCAGGATTTTGGAACAGTTTTTCTTACAGATCAAGCCTGTTGTTTGTTTGTTTTTTTCACTAATTAATATTCACATACAATTTTCTTTAGTTGAAATTTGTATGTCCTGATTTTGAATTTTGTTTTCATTGTGTTAAGCCTCTGTGTGACCACTGATGTACTAACTCATATTTTCCAACAATCCAAATGACTTACTGGACTTTTTAACATTTCCAAAATAAAAAGAATATGGTAAAGGAAAATGACCGTCAAGCTTACATGTGAAGCTTACATGGTTCAGTTCATTTTCAGTGTTGAACAGGTGATGGAATAGACAAAATGGACTCAGCCTTTGCTACCTTTCCTGTTTTAGCTCCTTGTCCCAGTTTCCCTTCCTCAGTATATCGTTTGCATTGGATTGCTTGCTGCTGTTTACATGGCAAATGGAAAACCTATGAAAACATAATTACCTGATTTTGGCTTCAGTCAGCTTGATAAATATCTGGAATTAAATATGTCCATGAAATAATGTTCATAGTTTCATTTGTGTGCTAATTTGCCAAAACAAGGTGGGTGTTTATGAAGAGCATCAGTCAGCTCCATGAGCTTAGTATTAACAGAGGGACTAGTGCTAATTTGTTGCTAGTAAAAGTCCAATTTGGCTTTGTATATTTGAATATAAGGCTGCAGTATTTTGATACATTTTTAGTCACTTTTGCTACCATAAAATAAAATGGGAACACAGAATGCCATCAAGAGAATCTCAGTGATGCAATACTTTGGTACTAGTTTGGCAGCAATGTTTATTTGACCAGTTCAAGTGGCCTGCACTTGTAATTTTGTGTATCCAAGCAATTTTCAATTAAACAAAACATTATATATTACAAATGGTGGCGCCCGGAACTGATGTGCTAGGGTTCAGCCTGTCTTTGACAGCTTTATTCATTGTTGCAATACTTGAAAGCTTGTGCTGTTTTTCTTGCATATGTAGAAGGGCCTTTTGGCCTTGAGCAAAGACTTGATTCCACATTATTTTTTTGGCAGCAGTTTTACTGTTTTTGAAGATAGTACGCAGATTTTTTTCTTGCTTAGATCTGCTGCTGCTGTGGGATATACACACTTGCTAGTGTTTAATGTGAAAACAAGTGACTGTGAAGGGGAAGGGAGTTGAAATATTTGGAGGCTGCATCCCAAAGTACATATGCTGTTAGTTATCTTAATTAAATGGCTTGTCCTTGTTAGCATGGAGATTTCATAGGTCTGCTTTTCAAAAGGATAAATGCTGAAAGGGTTAGATCTGAGAAAGATAACCATGCTTTTCTATAGTCATTGTTTCTGGGGTTGATCCATGGAATTTGGATTTCATCAAGTCAGTGAATATGATTTGTGTATGGTAAAGGAAATTGAAAGCAGATGAAGAGCCAAGACAGATTTTTGAGGTTAAGGAAGGCTCCCAGGATTTGAAGGAAACCTTGTGCCCATCTTATTCATCAGAAACTAGCCTCTCCCTAGCTAGAATGCATTGAAAATTGAATGAGTGGTAATACTTTTATTTTAATTTTTAAATAAAAATGCACTTTGCAGAGTTTCAGAGATGATTTAGTTCTCTGCTCTAGAGAACCTTCCAGGAAAAGATTATTCAGATCAGAAATAGATGAAAATTCTTTAAAAGAAAACCACTATCATTGTCATTGAAAATATTAATTATGGAATATGCTCCCCAGAGAGGTTTGCCTGGTGCTAATGCTTTATTTCTTTTCATGCCAAGCAAAGCACATTTTATTTTTTCCATTATTTTAATGCTTAATAGGTTTTAAGGTGAGTTTTATTTACTGGAAGTTTTGGATGCAGTGTTCCATTTTATTTTGTGCTGCTTTGATTGTAAAACCATCCTGAGATGCTTGTAGTGGATGGTATATATAAGCTTTAAATAAATAAATAAAAATTTAAGTATGTTCAAGCCACTCCTTAGATAAAAAGGTTCCCATAGTGGTGTATGTATAATGAAGCAACAGAATATGCAGGCTCAAAATCTAAAAAAGATTGAAGACTAAAAAGAAAGGGAATCAGGAAGAACAAATTTATTGAATTCTGGTGGAATGGCTGTTTTCCTCAGATCAGCGTTTGGAATGGTTGCTGCTGGTAACCATTGAGGAGGTCTTCATGAAGGAGGTCGTATTTATTAATGTTTATATACTGATCAATATAATAGCACCTTCAATTTATTTACATATAGTGGTAAAATACAACATAAGAGAAACAATACTCCCCCCCCCCACACACACACAAAGTAGCCACAATAGCAAAAATATCAGCAGTTGCATTTGTGTGAAGTCAAAAATGTTTGAAGGACTTTCAGGTTTTATCATAGGTGGTGCAAATACAAGGAAAACCTATCACAAATATGAAAGACATATGTAATCGTTCATGGCCTTTTCCACACTGAAATATGAAAAGATAAGCTAACTGGTGGCACTGAATTATAAACACATTTCAGGTAATGAGTTAAAATATCCATAGCAATGCATTTTACGCACAGGAATGTATTCAGATCATGATTCCGTATAGAAAGGTATCACAATACTACATATTTAATACAGGCATATCTAGTTTCTAGTGCTTAATTTTGTGGTTTAGTTCTCTTGTGGTCAATTAGCCAGAGTTGAGAAAAATGAACACTAATTAACTCTGCTTCTAACGAAGTGTCAGACAGGCCATGATCTAAATTTTTAATTTTGATGGCATACCTGTTTTTTTTCCTGTAAATGATTGGGGGGAGTCCTTGCCATCTTGCTGTAGTTATCATCTGTTATTTATTCCTAAACACTTCAAAATAATAGGAAATTCTCCTTTATATTTTGCAGTGATGTGGGACTGGGATGGTAAGATACTGTATCGTATTTGATATCTGAGGAATAGATCCTTTGGGACTCCCTTGCTCCCTGGAAACTAAACTAGAATAATGAGTAGTCCTTCCTGCAAATTCAATATTAGCTTTACACCTCAGGTCAACAGAAAGTTAATGACCATTTGCACACCAGAGATAGGAAATTGCACTGCATATTTTTGTCAATTTAAAAGCATAACATTATGCTGAGGTAATTTATATTTAAATTGATTTAAATTATACATCATAATAATTGAGGGCACTAGAGAACGTTCTAGTGGAAAGAGCTAGCATCAGTGATATTTGTAAACTTGGTATAGGCAGTTACTGCTGGGTTGAACCCAGCATAGAGGAGAGATACAGCTGCAGAGGGCAACCAGATATTAAAAACTCGAGAAGCTTGCATGGCATAAGGAATAATGAGTAGCTAAATCAGCTGGAGCTGATAAAAAGGTGCTGCTGGCAACTGAGTCCAACTTGGGCAGTCAGGCAGAACTCAAGGGCCAGAAGCTCCCCCAGACTACAAGCCTTGTCCTTTAGGGAGAGTGCAGCCCTGTCCAAGACAGGTTTACACTCTCCAAGTTGAAATGGAATTATACTTTCCAGCAGTACTTCCATCTTACCAGGATTGAGCTAATTGGTCCTCATCCAATCCATTACCAATTCCAGACACCAGTTGAGGGTAGAGGGTGCCATACCTGGGTCAGATAAAAACAAGAGTTATAGCTGAGTCTCATCAGCATACTGATGATGCTTCAGTCCAAAGCTCCTGGTTATCATTCCTAGTGGTTTCATGTAGATGTTGGAAAGCATGGGGGGTAACTTTGAAGCCTGTAGCGTAAGTTTAAAGTTTTAACCATCATCCTTAACAGTTTTGTTCACTTGTGCATTTTAGCAAAGGAAGGATCAATGGATTTTCTTCTCTTAATGATTGTTTTTCCACTTCCCTTCTGGTAAACTTTTTATTATTATTACTGTTGTTCAACTGATTCGCACACCTGTGTAAGGATATTTTGAGTGCATTTAGTTTTTTTCAAAATATACTCATAGCTGGGGCAAAGGAAGACCTTAACCTTAGGATGGAACTTAACCACAGCTCAAACATGTGTGTTGCTGATTTAGTGGTCTTGCTTCTCTTTTTTATTTACCACCCTCCATTTTAAAATAAATTATATACCCCCAAACTCATTGGTTATCCCATATCTCTCAAACCATTGCTAACCTAATCCTGTGCAACTTTGCCACTTTGTTTTTGCATGGTTTAGCAGCTTTCTGAGTGTTTTGGATTCCATTTCCTAGAATTTCTGACCATTGGCTCTGTTGGTTGGGGATGATGAGAGTTGGTCCATAAGTTCTACAGAAGACAAGGTTGGGAAAGGCTTGCAGTTTTTATTTTAAAAAAGATTATACATCTTCAGCACATAAATATTATCTTTTTTACTAAGCTTTGCTAAGCTATTCTGTGGAATATGCTATAGTGGGGTGATGGTTTGCTCCTTAAGATGAATCAATGTGGGACTGATTGGCATTGCATCTTTCCTTCTCAGTCCTCCAGCCTTGGCCCCTCTACATATTCCAGTATTCTTTGCATTGCAACTTTTTGTTAGGTGCAGTCTTTCCTTGTCAGTTTCCTTGTATGTTTCAGTTGACAAGGGAAGCAGCCACCAAGAGCAGTGATTTACTAGGAAATCAACAAGATGAGACTGTACATACAGTTGGTTAATCACTCACAAAAGACCAGGGGAAAATGAATGTTAGAATAAAAAAATTACACTACATTGCATTTTATTTATATAATCTGCCTTTCTTCCTATTGCAAGAAACCCAAGGGAAGTGGCAAGGTTCACCTCTTCTCCATTTTATTTTCACAACAACAACCCTGTGTGGTAGATTAGACTGAGAGTCTGTGACTGGCCAAAGTCACCCAGTGGGTTTTATGGCTGAATGGGAATTAGAACCCAGATTTCTTAGGTACCATTCTAGTACTCTGAGTCACTATACCTCACTGGCTTTATGTGAAAGATATG